GGCAAGTCCTTCACGTTGCCAACAGAAGCTGTCCGATTGTACGACCCGAGTACCCACTCAAGTTTCTTCTCTGGCTGCCCACAATTGCCTTCAGCAGCTACAGTAGCAGTTTTCCTAAGTACCAATCTGCTTCAAACGTGGTATGTATACCAGTCCCTCACAACATCTTGACAGCTCAACCTACAGATATACATGGGAGTCCATGCCCAGCCTCCTCAATGGCCAAGCACTACGAGGCTGTGGGTGTATTGACACCTTGTGTTATCTCTAGTATGCTCCGAAAGCCCACAGAACTTCACCTGCTTTTCATCCTATCCTCAGGTCTTTCGCGGCAACAACAATCTCTCTCAACGTGACTTAACCTGCTCTTCGTCCTATCTCGGGTCGTTCAGCTCAACAATCGTTCTCAATGTGCACCTCGTGTAACGGCTTGCACTCTTCTGTCGTGGACCTGAATAGCAGGCCATTTTACAAACCCCTTGCCAACACAACAATGGTGTCTCACTCGCTCAACTATATTCTCGAAGGTATGATCAGCTCCCTTAGTGTCAAAGGATAATGAGTGTTACTGGGAAGTGCTATGGGCCGCTGCTGGATTATGTGAAGTACTGACGAGGTCGTATTGGATCTCAAGCACAATGCACATTACCTTTCTTGCTCTATGGTGCGTGGCAGATTTCACCGCGTGCATACTAACTTGGAGCCTTAATACTGTGCTAAGTATTGTTCATGAAGCATGCAATTATGCCTTTGCTCTGATTCGATAGGATAGGAAGCCAGCACAAATGGACATGACAGCTGAAGATCCTGAGTTGGCTACGTCACCACACTTTCTCAATGCCAATGCAGAACAACATCTGCGACATCAGGTCCCGAACACTTCGTTATTCACTGGACAAAATTTGCAGTTGACAACACTGTGCCATAAACCACCAGTACTTTTTTAAGGAAACGTGCCCGTTAACACGCCACGATTTAAGGAAACGTACGGGCTACCACAGGAGCGCCCAAATTCATCTGACTAGAAACGTTTCTACTCTTTTTTTTTCCGCGGCCGATAGCTGGGCCAAGTACTGGTGGTGTAAGGTGGTAGGGATCCCCTATGGGTATATGAATTTGCTAGTGGTTCTTAAGTGTCTGTCCTATCCTGCTTGACACTGGACAAGAAATCGTCAATCTTACGCCTTGCTGGGACAAGGCACGGTTATCGATGAACTTTGTAGGGGGACCTTTGCACAGCAAAGGCATATATGAATTTGCTAGTGGTTCTTGATAAGTGTCTGTCCTATCCTGCTTGGTATGTTCTCGAGTGGAAAGACACTACAGAGCACAATGTTGATGTCCCTTTCTGGATTTAAGAATCATAATACAGCTATAGACGGCTCACCTCGCATTGGCATATTCGATAAGGCTGAGGTTTGGGCTCTTGGTCGGAGGTCATCCTTAACACTCTTAAAGAGTGTAAAGGGTCTCGCGTGACGCTCCCACGGAGACCCGCTTGCCAGTGTTGGGAAAGGCGGTGGGGCAAGGGGCAGGGCAAGGGGCGGGCCCACGGGACACCTGTGTCCTTTCTATATCTTTTTTTGTCGGTTTGTGGGCTCGCTCATGTCGTTTCATTTTGGACTCAGGGCCTCGGTGCTCTACTCACGAGACTGAATCTACCGCTGAAGTACGGAGAAATACGTTGCTTATCGTTTTTTGTCGTTTTGTGGTCCCGCTCGCGTCGTTTCGTTTTGGACTTAGGGCCTCGCTTCACTGCCCACGAAACCGAATCTACCGCTAGAGTACGGAGAAATACCTTGCTTATCTTTTTTGTCGTTTTGTGGGCCAGCTCACGTCGTTTCGTTTTGGACTTAGGGCCTCACTGCACTACTCACGAGACTGAATCTACCGCTAGAGTGCGGAGAAATACATTGCCATCTTTTGTCTTTTGCGCACGTAGATCCACGGCCCGCGCGTTTGTTTTTCTGCGTCATGAAAGGGCGGTGGGGACGAGGGATGAGTTGGAGGGGGTGCGGGGAGGTGGGGACCAGGGCAGTGGACGGGGGGAGGGGCAACGCGAGGAGCAAAAGAGGGACCAGCGGAGGCAGGAACGGGCTATGTGTGTGTGTGTGTGTGTGTGTGTGTGTGTGAGAGAGAGAGAGAGAGAGAGAGAGAGAGAGAGGGCATTGGTGCGGAATTGCAATTTTTTTTTTCCCCCCCTACTCTTGGTCCCCGCTCTTGGTCCCCACCGCCGTCGCGGCGGCCAGACGTCTTGTTCCTTTCATGAGCAACTTATCAGCCCGCCTTTGCGCTCATGGGAGCTGATGAGGGTTCAGTATCCTTGAACCAAACCTGTGGACTTTGCGATGATTTCTTCGCATGGAGTATGCTCACCAAGGTCTCCAGTGCCGTGGCCAGGGTTGGACTACATATGGGTATGGGCGACAGTGTTGGCTGTCTGCTGATGTCACTCAGCCTCCCAAATGGTTTTACCGTTTGGTTTGCTGGTCACTTGGCC